TTTCCAATAGGGCCTGTCCTAATCAATAGGAAGAAGGTTAAATGCTCTTAAGGATGTGGCAGATAAATAATTGGAAAAGCAAGAACAGAGACCAAGGATCAAGATACCACAACATCTGCTTCAGAAAACTGAAGAGAGTCATTGAGGCAAGTTCCTCTTGAGCTGGATGAGAAATAGCAGTAGAAATAAATACTCTCTACTACAGAAAAACCAAGTTAACATTTCAGTAATCTGAACTGAAGGAACATTGACAAACATCACATTTAAAAGTCTCCCTCACATGTCTAACTCATCAAAAGCTGCCCGGGCTAATGTAACAGACACGAATTGATAGTGGAGCTGGCAGATTGCCTGATGAAGGACTGAACCAGAAAGCCCTGTAGGAAAGAGAAAGGGGCTAATTCAATGTGCTTCCAAAGGGCTTTGGCAGAATGAGCCTGAATATGAACGCTGGGTCATTTTGACTGATGGAGAAAAGAATTGTGTCAGCCTCCAAAATGAACCAGAGGAGAAAGATCAATCTCAAGAAAGCCACACATATGAGTTTATTCAGTCTCAGGCAGAAATAAGACTTGGAGTGAAGAGGTGGTGCTTGAATAGCTGCAAACCTGAGCAGACTTGCAGGCAAAGGGATGCAGGAATCAACCAAAAGCTCTGGCAGTCAGCCCATAAAGTCAATTAGCAAATGGAAACCCAAACACTGATATTTCCATAGCTGGGTTTATTACATGCTTATTTTGATAGGCACTAAACTCACTCCATAGAATGCAAAAGGCACTGCCAACCCTGAGTAATGAATCCCTGAGGAACATAATACAGTTGCTCACAGCAGCGGAAACCAAGATACATTACAGGCAGCCTGAAGAACAGTCATTATTTTCTGATCAGTGATAGCTGCAGCACCAGCAGCCCCCATCCAGCCTCTCCACATGTCTGTGCACTGAGTTTCTGACCCTCTTCAACCACCCCTGTCACACAATCATAACCTTACAATGCGGACAAAGAGATAAACACAGTAATAAATGGCAAGAATGACTTTATCACCAACAAAATCTAGGCTAATCATACTCTCGAGGCACCTCTGCACAGTGTATTTTCATTTTTCCATCAAACATGACTCTAACATCAGAGGAGGTTATGAAACTGAAGAAAAATATCTGGAAAATAAATGGAATATATCTGAACAGGTGATTTCCTGACTTTCCTTAAGAAAGTACAAAATTTCTCCTAAACATCAAGAAATTAAAGACAGCATTAGGATTTGGAAAACATCTTTGGAACATACAAAAGAATGACCAGAAATTAATTCATGTTTTCATTAAATACAGATCCCATTTTCCTCCTAGAAACTATTCACTTTTTCCTCTATCATGGAAAGGAATCATTTCAAGAGCAAAAGTTGTGTAATCAACACAGTGGAAAAAATGAAACACTTTTTGTGCAAGAAAAGAGGAATATCTTTTGTGCAGCAAGTTCTACAAGACCTTGTTTTGACTGAATTTCTTCCTAACACCAAAAGAATAAAATAAAAAAGTCAGTCTGACAGACATTAATATTTACAGGGTGCTCACAGAACAGAGTGACATTAGCCAATGTTTGCATGCTGATCCTGCAAAAATTTGAGAGCAACCACATTGGGGTTCTTCCTGCTCAGGAAATTTGTTAATCATATTTGACATTTGCTAGAGCCACAGGACCCAGAGAAGAGAATTGTACCTGACGTCTTTTAAAAAGAACAGGAAAAAAGAAGGGAAAAAAAAAAAGAAGGGAAATAAAAAGAAGGGGAAAAATCAGAACATCACAAATAAATTTCAAGGCTGGTTTCAAATGGAAAAAAAGCACTGCAGTGGCATGTACAGAGAATAGCACCCAGGAAAAGATAAACTAGCAATGAAACAGCAAGGGCGTGATAGGTAATAAAGCAAAAGCATTCTGTTTGGAGGGCACAAGGAATTGATTGTTTTTGTAACAGCCATAGATTAAATTACATTTCATTTCCAAAGTGTTTCAATTCTTTCTTCTGTCAATGGCTATTTCAGAGCTGAATGAAAGTCATTATATTACTTAGGGGGCTGCACCTTCATCATCTCTAGCAGGGAAAAAGCAGATTTTATTCCATGAGCAACTCATATTTCTAATGACATGCATGCCATAATACCATGATTTCTTTATCAAAAGAATAAAATGGTTCTTTTCTGTCTTGAAATATGTAAGAAACGAGGCATGGAAATGCAAGAGATCACACTAGGACACAGAGTAAACAACAGCAACCAAAATACAAAAGAGTCCTTATTGCTGGATTAATTAGCATTAATAAACCAGGGCATAAATATTTTTGACAGGACAGGAAAGAAGGTAATTAGCATTTTTGGGATGATATAAATGTTCCTCCTACAACATGCTGAGCACTCCTGCTCCAAATGATCCTGCCAGCTTGCCTTTATACCTCCAAACATCTGACATCCAGTGGAGAACACTCAGCATTTACATGAGACTGAGACTCCTTTTTGCTCCTCCAATCGAAGGCTATTTGAGGAAGAATAAATTGCTAATAATTAAACAAATAGTGAAACTAAAACCTTTCTACTACTATCAAGATTCCAAATTAGGCACAGAAAAATAGGAGTTTGCAAAGCCTTTTGAAATGGATTTTCTGTTGGAGGCACAACATACACAATGATTTGCATCAGTGATTATCTTAATTAAACTGCTGTTTACATAAGTAACGTTGATTTACTTTACATGTTGTTCAGTGTCATTAGACCATTCATTTAATTGTGCAAATTTCCTTTAGCTGAAGCCTTCTCCCACCTTCAGCAGGCTGTGAACAGCACCTCTGTTGTAAGGAGTGAATCCAGAGCACGTTTAATAATTACTACACAAGCTTCAGACAAGTTTCAGTCACACAAATCACTGGGTTAGCTCCAGCATGTCAAAGGCCTGGATGTTTGCCATCATCTACTCAAGCCTTAAAACCCATGAGAACAGCAGTGCCACACAGACAGAGCAAAGATCAGTACCTGGCATGGTATTTTATAAAATGTTTTCACTTCCTTATGACGAGTGAAACTTCAGTTCCACATTAAGTGACTTAAAACTAGGAAAAGATCACTTCTGCTGTGGAAGAAAAGCCACCATGTATATTGAATTACATTGATTTGAACATGTATCAGTGCAGATTTTCAAACATTAATTGCTGGCAGTGCCAAGATAGTTACTAGCAGTCCCTGCACATGTAAAGGCTGGAGTTGTGTTGGAAAAATTAAGAGATATGTATGGAATGATAAACTGATCTTATTCAGCTTAACTTTTTTTTCAATATTATACATCACATGATAGGAAGGAGGAAACCAATATCAGAACACCATGAAGATGAGGGAAAATTAAGCTAAAAAAATTCTGAGCTATTAATCCTTCCTGATAATGAAGTACTTCGGGATGACTTCTAAAACTCACTTTCATTTAGATGCCTCATTTATTTTAATCTGGGAGATAATTAGAAGGAAATCAAAATTTCCACAGCAGAATATTTACCTGAGATGCAGCTCAGACTTCTCAGTATTTCCCCTGTGTGTTCAAACTCTATGTTATATATATTGCTAAAACCTTACTGAGATTAATGCCCATTACTTAATTAGCATCCAAATCTGAGTCTATGAGGCTTGCTGCTGGTTAGCTGTCAGAACAGCAATTCTTTCAGATTTTTTTTTCTATCAATAGACCAAGTTTTGGTCAAGAAGTTCCACAGATTCTGCACATCCCCACCAGCAGGTCCCAGGGCACTGCCCTGGGCAGGCTGACTTATGGGGCAGACACAAATATTCATCTCCAAGATGCTCTGCTAACCAGATTACCCCGGAAGAAAAGCTGCACCACTGATGAATTCCTGCTGTGAAGAGCCAGTGGTTTATCTCATCACCAACTAATCCTGTTATAAATTATCTAGCACTCTAAATGTATCAGAGAAGAATCCTTAGCTGAATGAGCCTTCCCCTCACACTGGCGTCCTCTAGCAATTTATTTGTAATTATCATTTGCCTTTTTTCCATATCTAATATGAAGTTAATGAATGCCTGACATAACTTCAGCAGAAGAAACCACCACGACTAGTTACATAATTACAGGTTTAAAAAGCGATCTTTCTCAGCTCCATGCACTGAAGTAATCTTTAAGGGTAGAGGTTAAGTACAGGCAACACAGAGTATAAATTGCTTTGCAAAACGTTCTGTACACTGACCACAGCAACTTCTGTGTGGTACTGCCTTTGAAGGAAGAGCTTGATCTCATAATAATATTGCAGTAATACAGAACTTGTTAGTATTATCAGTCATGTCTTGTTCATGGGCCTCTGTCTACAAAAGGACAGCAAATTTGCACTTGAAATCATTATAGAATGTGAATAACATTTCAGGTCACCACTAAGTGCCAAGAGAAGAGGAAAATGGATACTTTAGCATGGAGGCAGACCTATGAGCAAGAATTTCTAGGGAAAAAAAATAAGAGGAAAAAAAATCACCCTTTCATGTCTTCAAGAACTGCTTAAAATGAAGTGTTTCATCAAAAAATAAGATATGATTTCTCTCAGCCTGATCCCACCACAGGCATTCCTGTTCAAGCTGCTGCAGGCAGTTCTTCTCACTTCTAGATAGATTTAATTCTGTTTATTATTACAGATTAAGGAAGCAATTTTTAAATACAATATTCATACTTTTCAGCTCCAATGGGGCAATACATTCAGAGTAATTTGTGACTTTCAAGAAAATTAATACACAAATTTATGTCTCATTACTGTTTTGAATTAAAAAAAGGCCTCAAGTAGAAGCATAAAGAAACAAATCTGAGTTGCTAAACTGTTTGCACCAGTTAAGAGTAAGAGATTCCAGGGTAACTAGTATATTCTGATTTACTACCAGCTTGTGGACCTTCTCAGTGAAAAATTATCTCATTTTTCTATTTATTGCAAGGCATGATGCAAAACCAGAGAAAATCAACAGACTTACTGAGTATCTTTCTTCTTCTTTTTCTGAGGGTCCATCAGCCGCAGAGTGTCTCTGATGACAGCAACTTTCACTTTTTCATCAACAGGGCTTGGGACATTTTCAAACACTCCAGGAGAAAGCTTTGCATCACAGAGGGATAAAGTTATTCACTACAGAACTAAGGGTGATTTATTCCACATTTGCTCAAACTTCATGTGGTTCATCTATATTTTAAATACACAATGATGGATTACAAAACATTTCTTCAAGGATGCACAAATATCTTCACATTTTCAGTATGATGCTACAACAAATTCCTCTAGTAAACTGAAATATTAAAAAAAAGATTGTTGCCGATGTTGTCATTTATATTATGTATACAAAGATGAAAAAGATTATTAACAATCCCCTAAACACAATTAACGACTGCAGGAGATGATGAATAAATGCATTTATGACAGAGATGATGGAGAGCTTTCACAATTCCAATAAGTCATATTTCCTATGTATAAGATTAGCAATGATTTCAAAGCAGAAAATTACAGAGAACCTTAGAGGTTTCATATTAGCAGACAGCTTTCATCTTTCAAACAAGGAAAAAAGCCCAGAAAAACCAACCTAAGCGATTTCATTCCAATATCACATTAAGAACTCTTACCTCTTGCTCATGTTCTATTCTCATGCTGGGGTTTGCATTTACTTCCAGTAACATGGGCTTCAAGTCTTTCATCAGGAGAATGTCAAACCCTAAAATCTGTGCATAACAAGCAATATGTTACTTCAGTTCCACTCAGGGTGTTCTACAGAATGCAGTGTTTGTCCATATGGCAACACTGAGCAGGAATAAACATTCGAGGGGCAGAGAAGAAGAAGCTGAGAAACTCTCCACAGTGCTGAATAACTCCAGAAGCCACTTGTCTCCCATCCCAATGGCTCCTTTCACACCACCCCCATCCCTAAACACTGCATCTGCCAACATGGAATCTCGGCACCCGTGACAAGGGGGTCTTCAAATTGCCAGGATCAAAACTGTGTTAGGAACCTGCAAAGCTTCACTTCTAACACGTAGAAGATGGAATCTGGAGTGAAAACTGTTACTAACAAACTACACCCATTGAAAATTCTCTGTATCTGCTTAGGGCTGGCAGTAACACAGGTCAGGAGACTGAGGTTTGACTTGGGTGAGGAGCTCTGAGCTCTCTGAGCAGCACCATAACTAGAGAAAACTTTCAGAAAAGGCATTAAACACCCAGAAAATTAATCTTTGCATAGAAGTAACTGCATTCCTGGCAGAAATTCCAGCTTACCTGGAAGCAAGTTGGCCCAGGCTTTCCTGCTGGTATGTCAGACTGATAGTAAACTTTCAGTTCTGGTGTCAGTGCAATAATTGTTTTAATCACCAATGAAATTATATCTGACCAGAGCTTTTTGACATCAGCTCCTCTGGAAGACAGTCTGCACAGAATGCTTGAAAAAGTCCTCTTGCTGCCAGTGTTTGCACTGTCAGAATGGATGAAATTCCCACTATGGATATTTAGTGAATAGTTGGTTAAATGCATAAAAACCTGGTGCAAATTTTTGAGAGTAGGTTCTTGATAGGGCTCTGTACAAAATCTAGAAAGTCCATCTTTGGCTATATAGATCTCTAAGGGTTCTAAGGATTTCAGCAGGACATAGAGACGAATGTCAAATTTCAGTTTGTCCACGAGCAGTGGCTTGCAGATGTACTCCTGCACCACAGCTGGCCGGCTCTGGATGCTCCCTGTCAGCCTGATGTCACTTGGGTCTTTGATGAGGTAGATTCCATCCCCCTGGCAGCCTCCATCAGGCTTTACAATAAAAGTGGGCTTCCAGGATGGATTGCTGTCTTTCATCATACGAACCTAGAGGGAAAAGCATTACAGTGAGAGGCACTAGCTGGGGAAGGGAAGAAGGGCTGGTACTGTGAAGGCCAGTCAACAAAAATAAATAAAAATAGCATGAATACATCACCAGAGTAGTAAACACCATTCAAAAAAGGCAGAAGATGAACAGTGCTGACAAGCACAAACAGAAACAAAAAAGCACAAGTAGAGAATTACTAGTAGGGATAAAAGATCATGTCATTTAACAAGCCACTGTATAAATAATTTCAGGAATTTCTTTTTAATGTTCTGTTCCAATTTACAGAAGGAAATGGGGTATATCTTATGAGATCTATTTTAGTAGTCACTAATGTATATGAAACTGCAGAGTTAAATTTTCATGCTGCACTTTGAACAACTACTGACAAAGTCAATCATTAACTTAAGGAAAGGTGCCTTATTTATTGAGGTACGAATGCAAATACTACCAGAAGAAGGAAAACTGAAATAAAAATTTGTCACTAACAATACCTTTTTCCACCACTGAAAATATTTCACCATCAGATACCCAGTGTTAATAAAACTGGGGAATGCTGAACCATGTACAGGTACAACTATGTCTGCTGAACATCAGAGCTTTCGTGTTACATGTGTATTTCCCACTACCTAAATAAATTCTAGCTTATTTATTACTTGCACAGCAAAAGTTAGAACTGCACACATGGGGATGCCTCAATCAGAAATGAAATTGAGAAAGAAAGGGAAGCCCTAATAAAGAAAGCAGCTGAAGAAATGCAGGATACAGGCTAGCAGGTTTATCAGCTACTCATGGGATCCAGGACAATAAAGCATTCAAAACCTCTTCCCTCCAAAACAGAGGGATGTCCCAGCACTGACCACTCCTTTCCTGCACTCCCATATTTTAGGGCCCAGCCCTGCAGCCAGGCACTGTGCTGAGCCCAGTCAGAGATCTGGTTTTACCCTGTGGCTCACCAGCAGCAACTGGAGATTGACTTTTAGAAGCCTGAGGACAAAAGCTAACAAAGAAAGAACAAATCAGTTGCCACCATCAGCCCTGGAGGAAAAAATCAGCCCACAGGAAAAGGCTGAGCATGGTCAGATCATTGTGAGAGCAGCAACCTGTGCTGTAATCAGGCTGCTGACCCCCAGGAGAGGCCCAGCTCTGTCAGCAGTGACATTCCCAAGGCCTCAAGGACTTCTGGCTCTACCTCACCCAGTTATTTATTTCACTGAGACTCACACTGCTAAAAGCCTTCCTACCAGCTGCAGCAGAAATTCAAGATCCATTACCCAGACTAGGATGTTTCTCACAGACAGGTGTCACACTGACTCAGTGAAAGATCCTTCTTCAAAATAGGTCACTGTGAGGGATAAAATGCCTCAGTGGAGGTCAGGCTTACATAAATGGCATGTGGATAAATAGGTCCAGGTAGATCAGCAGGCCTAGATGAGCAAAGAAGGAAAGCAGGATTTATGTCCTAGTCTTTTTACCACTATAGAATAATCTTCCCCTGATGTGACATTACCCTGCAGAGCAGAGGAGTTCTCTGGTTCACTGTTGTAAAACCCAGCACCACAGAGAGACACCTGGTTAATCAGAACCCTCCATGCCCAAACACCCTGCTGTGACTCCTGTTGAACACACAAAGTGCCAATCATGCCCTCCTAGGGCAGAAAATACTGAAGAGCCTCTGTGACACTGGGAGGAAGAATCTGCCCCCCAGTTCCACATCTGCTGTTCACCCCTCAGGCTACATCTGCTCTGCTCCAGCAACACCTTTCCAAAAGAGATGATGCTTTCCAAAACAGATGATGCTTTCCAGGGACTATTGCTGAAGATGAAAAAGAACCTGCCTTTCAAAATATTGCATTCTAACAATCACTGGTCTCTGAGATCTCTCTTCTCTTAAAATAGGAAGCAAATAATTTTCTCCCTCATTCTCTATTCCACTTTTTTAATGGACTAAAAGGCCTGGATATTATTCAGGCTCTCTAGTCCATCAAAACCTACACATGGCAGACAAAGATAGGCTGGTAGGGAAAGGGGGAATAGTAATCCAGAGTCAGTCTCAGTCTGTTTTTCAGCAGATTTACTGTCTTGAAGAAAACAGATGGTTTCTGGATCTTAAAGGAAATTCCCAACAGTTGTCTTCAAATTCCTCACAATCCCCTCAACTATATTCTTTCAAATTCTCATTATGAGGGGACTTGTCCAGACGTAGAGAATTCAGTCATGTAGGAAAATGAGTTTATATGAAATGAGATATTTCTGTGTCCTCTGCTTGACAGAAGCAAATTATCTTTAAAAAACATGTTAACAATTTACAGTTAACAGCAAGAGAAGAGTTTGGTGAAAATCTGCAGGTTTGGCTTTCACGAGGAAACACAGGCTGAATGAATATAGTATTCTGGAAAAAATGCATATAACGGGCTATAAGATCTGACAGCACAAAGACTGGAATATTCATGACTATGCCTAAGAGGTATCCAAAAGCTGAAAACCTGATTAAACCACCAAAAATATGCTGTGCTGGAAATTAGACCATCCAAATTAGATTCTTATTAAAAATTAATCATACTGGCCTATTCATCATCCTCACAGACAACACAAAGAAGGAAGTATGAGAACAATCACAGTCCTGGTTTGAATCCCAAGCTAGTTACTCTTCAGAAATTGGGATTTCATGTTAGAACTAAGTCCTTAGCACACACATTCCAACAGATTCTTCCCTGCTAGTGAAGGTGCAATGACTGCAGCACCTCAGAGATTACCAGTAGATTAATAATAGATTACCTGAATCTAGGTATAGGGGAGAGCTGACAGCATTTGATTTCATAATTGATAGATTTGTATTAAAAAGTTCGCTATCATGACTACAGAAGTGAGGCACAATAAGGATATTTGAGAGATAAATTGTTTTGAAATGTTGTAGTGCATCAGGAGAGTCAACAAGATTTAAATTCACAGGGAGTTTCTTCTTTTAATAATCATTTCTGTTACAGGCAAATTCTCACAGGTGTTCATTTCTCATCCAGCCCTTTGCAACAAAATCCTACACTACAAACAGCACCAAACCATCTTCTCATGTCTAACCTACACCTGCACTGACAAAATTTGACTTTTGATAATGAACATATTCCAGAGTGTTCCAGCTCCTCCAGGGACATGTCTGACATGCAGGCACTACCAAAGCTCTCCCCACTTGTCTGTTGTCAACAAGCTGAAATGCAGACTCAGAGATCTGATGGTTTTGGCAGCATTAGGGTTGCAAAGCAAACAAAACCACATATGAACAAATAAACAACAGAAAAGACTGGAGAACTCCTGCTGAGAACTCACCAAACTGCAAGTGAAAAGTGCTCTGAACCTTTTATGGTTCACAGGGGGTTTGGAATGTTTTGGGTTGTCTTTTCTCTTGTTCTGGAGGGGTTACACTCCAAACTTGTGTTAAGTAGAACATAAACTCTTACAACATAAAATATAATGTTTGATAACAAGAACTATGCTTTTCTCCAACACAGATGGAAGAACATATGCAAAGGAAACTCCTAGGAGTGTGTTAGTGGACATCTGTTCCTCTTGGAACACAAGCGGCAGCGTTCGCAGTGCAGGGAGTGGGAGCAGAGCAGCGTTAACTCGCAGTGCCACCTGGTGCCAGCTCAGCTGAGCGTGTCACCTGCAGCTCAGCCCGGCCCAGCACTGCCCGTGCTCCCAAAAGGCTCACCCACCACCCACTGCCCCATCCCACCACTCACTGCACCCTCCTCACACTGCCCCATCCCACCACTCACTGCCCCATCCCACCACCCACTGCCCCATCCCACCACTCACTGCACCCTCCTCACACTGCCCATCCCACCACCCACTGCCTCATCCCACCACTCACTGCACCCTCCTCACACTGCCCCATCCCACCACTCACTGCCCCATCCCACCACCCACTGCCCCATCCCACCACTCACTGCCCCATCCCACCACCCACTGCCCCATCCACCACCCACTGCCCCATCCCACCACCCACTGCCTCCTCCTCACACGCTGCCTCCAAGTCATGTGCACTCATCTGCCTGGCCTTGCTAAACTCCTTGGGTTGTTCACACTCTTTTTACACACTGCTCTTACAGCAGTGCCATGGTAGTGACCCAGCCCACTTGAAGAGTAGCTATTAAAATATGTTAACGAATTTGACTGGATTATGGATATGGTAATTAGTTAAAAAGTTGCACTCAGTGCAAAAGTCTATTAAAGCTCAAGCCTCTCTTCTCTCATATTTCCAAGCACAGTATACTCTAGGATGCAAGAACAACCTGGGCAAGTCAGAGTTAAACAAACATATATATAATATTTAAAAATATTTGTAATAACAGAACCAAACAGCAACACACAGCATTATTCTTTTTCAAAAAAAAAAGCTGAAAAATTATGGCATTTTATTACATTCTGAATATTTAAACAAAACAGCAGTTTGACATGAGATGGTGTGAGTGTATTTAACAATGAACAAAGCAAAATGCTCTTCAGAAGGGTTTGGGTACAACAGGCCAAGTGGACTGATAAGATTTCAGTGACAATGAGCCTGGTGAAGCACCACAGAGCCCACACTGGACTGGAACCTCCTCGGGCCATCAGAACATGCAGGGAAGGGGTTGATGCTTCTACCAGGTTCAATTTTCAGACACCTCTACTGGCACAGCAGAGCAAGAGATCTGAAGTTTATTCCAGAACATAACAAACAAAGCTAACATCCAGATAGGTGACTGATCCCAGGCAAACTAGAAAAGCTGTCATCCCCAGGTGTAATTTTAAATAATCTGGTAGACAGAAGACTAAAGAATGACATGAGTACAATATACAGCAAGTAATAGTATTTTGAGAGTCAAAGTTGTGTACCTCAGCCATAAAGAGAGGCAGTTCTTCTGGCAGAATCCAGGACCGAGGGTAGAAGTTGTATTCCAGAGGAAACAGATCTTGCATTGTTCTCATGGCCCGACTCAGGGTGATTTTCCGAACCGTCTCCATCATGCCTGGGAAGAGAACAAGGTTACAAACCCCACACTGAAGCCCCATCCTAACAGTAAATGTATAATTTCAGAGCATCATTACTTACTTGCTGGGAAGGCACTTTGCTGTCAATAAAGCTGAACATCTTCTGACATTTTAAATCTGATACAATAATTGTGGCATTCCTCTGCCATAGTTACTATTGTATGTGTTTCTGCATAATATTAGAAAAACTTAATTCTCAAAAATATAGCTCAGAATAAAAAAACAGCTTTAGAGAAATCCTTACTAGTGCCTTTGCCATAATCCAAAATTATTTGTGCAATCTATCATTCCAGGAATAGGTACAAATGTAACTTAAATGTAATCAAGCACCTTAGTTTACTTTGCAGTTATTTAGGTATCTGAATCACAAATAACAGGTTATTTTATGAACAGCCAAACAAACATTTGCTGAAGTTTTATGTCCTTGGGAACATGGCTAAAAGTTTTTGGGGCTTTTTTGGGTTTTTTTTAAAGTTTATGGTAAAACCCTGCATCAAATTAGCACAACATTCCTGGAAATCAGATCTAGTTCTGAAGGGCTCTGGTTTGATTCCTGTACAGCCACTTGTTCACCAGGCAGAAGCCAAAATATAGACAGGTAACATTCATCTAACACCAATTTCAACCATCAGAAAACAAAACCATCCTACACCTGAGTGGGAACTTCCCCCAGGCAGGAGAAAGTCAGGGTAAATAAAGCCTGGAGTTCGATAGCTGAGGTTCTTATGCTCACAGCACACTAACAGCAGCCATAAATCTGAAGTAAAGGGCTTAGATAAGTCAATACCTAAGCTCTTAGCTCTTATTTAGAGAGATCTCAACAGGGATTAAATAAGAAAAAAAGGAGCTTAAAAAAATAGAAGAGTCATCATAAGATGAGGATTGACATGAACTCTTCAATATTAAAAAATCCATTTAAGGAATTCTGCTTCAAGCTTCTGCCTGAGATAAGCCAGAGTATGAAACAAAACAGATTCTTTCCACTTTGAATCAAAACCAAATCCAAAGATACAGCACTGTTACCAGTGCCAGATAACAGTCAGTAATTGCATACTTCACTTAAATTACAGCCTAACACTCTTCTTTTGCCTAACTTCACGTGTATGAAGTATTCTTCTCCACAAAACCACTTTCTCTCCAAAACAAATTTCAATTCAGAAATTGTTCAAGACATCCACTCTGATATCCTCACCCCCTCACCAAACCCAGTAACACGCCAAATATACTATCAGCTGATTAGGCAGATAATTCATATTAAAAACCAGTAAAACACAGAACTAGGTGCAATAACCCGGTTTTTAAAGCATTTGTTCAAACTAGAAAGAGAAGTGAAGTACCTGGAAACTTGTTGACTTGCCCTGAGAAGATGTTGCTATCATGGAATGACACCCCGTGCCAATAGATGTCACACGGCAAGCGGCGGCCAAACGGAAACTGCAAAGGAGAGCAGAGAAGTTTTGAGCAATCTGGGAATGCCTCCTCATTCCTGTCTGTTCTAAACACTCATCTTAAGCATAAACCACTCAAGAACAGTCTTCTGACTGTCAAAAGAATCCAAGCTCTGTATATTGGTTGCAAACCTGAGAATATTCAGATCTGCTCAAAGACTTTAAAGCGAACAAGCCAAGAGAGGTTTTTAAAAACCAAACCCAAATGACAGAGGCACGGGCTGTACTGAGAAACCCTGAGTTTCTCATAAACCACCATCAAGTTATAAAGTGGACACTCAAAGCAGGACATTTAAGTGCAGTAAGTGCATTATTGACTCATATAGATCGTTATATGTATTAATTTCTACAGTATTCATTCCTTTCTCGTACTAATAGCCTGTAATTAAAATAAAAGCTTGCAATTCAATTAATCATTAGTTGAGCATATATATTCCACTATCAAGAACTAAGGCGATTATTTCAACAATATTAAGTATTCCAGGTTCTCTTCCCATTCAGGCAAGATTTCACCATAAATTGGAAAACTGCAGTTTATTTTCTATTATCAAAAAGATCACCTTTTTTCAAGCAGTCTGAAGTGCTCAGAAGCAGCACTGCCAATAATTGAGAGCAAGTTTCTAATAGTAGTAAAGTGGTTTATAAAAAGCCCAATTAGTTTTGTGCAAAGAAGGTGCTCTTCTTTTTCATGCTTATTCTCTTTGACACGGCCCCATTTATCAATCCAAAAAACCCTATTTTATCTGCAGCTCCATGAAGATGCCATTTAACTACCATATGGAATACAGTCACAGGAATAGCTTCTATTACTAGGATACATATTTTTCAAATAAATCTGCTATATTTAGCATTTTAGGACACATTTGCATTAAATATCTACCACCCTCATCACCCAGTGCCATTTACTTATTGAAAGAACCACAGTATTTTGCAGAAACTTCTTGTTCTTTACTTGATATATAATTTTTCTTATTTTAAAACATTTCTTTATGCACTGGATCATTTTTCTTTGAGCATGACAGAAAAAAGCACTGCATAAACCTTTTGAGTGCATTACTTTATTTGCTACTTTAATTAAAATTTCAGTTTCCTCAGTAAATAGCCTTGAAAAAATAATTTAAAATGCTAATTGAGCAATGCATCCTTTCTGTTTCCTTACTTGCAGGGATGAGAAACCCAATTTAACAAGAGCCAGTGGATTCTGCACTTATTTCATTATTATTCAGCCTGCAAAATCTGTTTTTGTACAAGTGAAAATTAATTCTGTTGGGCTCTGAAAGACAATCAATGGCCTTAACCTCTCTCCACAGGTATATCCAGAATACAGATGCAGCATTCAGTCTCAGAGTGCCCTTCCCACTAAAACCTGAACTATTTATTTATTTATTAAAAGAAATTGAAATGAAAGGAACAAAATTTGCATTTATATAACACCTTTCATCTACAGAGGATATCAAAGCTCTCTACAAACACTGCACAGAAATCATTTCACAACAGATGAGGAGTGAGGCTCTGGACAGGAAGATGGAAGCACTGCACCCCCTTGTTGGAAATTTGGAACACCATAGCAAGGGCCCTGCTCCTGAGAAATCAAGATTATCTGGACTTATCCAACAATGGAATCAAACTCACCTCCTGAATGAGGTGGGCTGGATTCTGTAACCTCTGCACAACACTTTACATAAGAGTGGTGTTTGGAGAGGAGCCAACAAGTTTGGTTATTTGGTGCCTCTGGCAGTGCCAGGCAGGTATTAATTAATCTTAGAGTGGTGGGAGAGGCCTTTGCACCACACTCCCAGCTCCCGGGCTGGGACAGTGGCTTAAAAATAAAGGTGGCTAGAGCCATCTTTTTTAAAAATCTTTTCAATCTTTTTTAGTCAGATTTGGGCAACATTTTTCAGAAAAGAATAAACAAGGCGCCATAAAGAGAATAGAGTTGTTTCCACAGCTTTGACACGATTAATAATCCATCGCAGTCAAATCTGTCTGACAGGTCATTTCTACCTTTGGATTAGAAGCCAATAATTTAAATTGTCTCAGAGGTCACATCAGTCTGTTCCATCATGTTTAATGACAAGTTAAATGACTCGTTTTCCACTCAGATTTTCCCAGCGTAAAACCTGAAACTCTCCCCACGCCTCCGTGAAGCTCCGGAACAGCGAGACAAATGAAACGCTCGATGCTGGGATATTTGATGCCTGGGACATCTGCTTCTTCCATTTTCCTGGTAATTGAAAGCTTGCTGAAGAAATAATTTATTAGTAGATGAATAAACTCGGGATGCAAGCTCAATTTGTGCCCATTATTTCATTTGGCATATCATGTTCATTTAAAGAATCTGACACGCTGGATCAGATGGTCCAGCCTAGCGCAGGAACTGGCACACACATGGGAACTCTGCAGTGCTTCTTAAAAGGTCCTCCCACACAGCCCTATCAAACCTGAGTGTTTCATTTACTCAAAATTCCCCCAGCCAAAAAAAAAAAAAAAAAAAAAAAAGTTGGGGTTTTTTCCTGTCTTTAGCTTCTGAGAACAGAATCTCAATGATCAGTTTGCTGTCTTGCACTCTTTCACCTCTTCCCCACATATCAGTGCCACAGAATATTTCAGCAATATTGCCAATGCTTAGAGTATTCTTCCCTTTTTTGTGTGTCTTATAATGACATTTACCATATGTCAGTTCACTAATGAATAATAAAAAAAAAACAAAAAATGGATATGTCACACTGTAAGAATACTATATGTTAGATAGAAAAAGTTACAGATCAAAAGGTGCCTACTTGAAAAAGCACATTATACTGTCTCCTCCCAACAAATATTCCAGCCAACACATCCAGCAGCAAACAGCAGAAATGAAACAAAAGCAAGAATAGGAAAATGTAAAAGAAGCAGAGAGGGAAAAGAATCAAAAGTAGTACACAGGGGATAACAGTAGAATAGCAATCCCTGACACATCAGTATTTAAAATACATGCATTTCATTACTACTTCCAGGACTTTTTTTGCATTATTTTCATGGCTCCTGGAAGCAACACCCGTGTTCCCTCTGCTGGTCCTGCTGTAATAGTGCAACCAGCTCCAAGGCTCTGGCCATCCCTTACTGTGGTCTGAGAAAGTATTTTACTGCTATTTCTCCTAACGTCTCAAAGGGAGAGCTTTCAGAATCACACGTGGCTTGAATAAAGACTTTTACTTGGATTTATCTTCTCAATTTTGTTAATTTTTATCTTCAAATCTTGACCAGATCTTATTAACCTATTTATAAGCTGAAGATACAGAGCAATACGTGACAGTGACTTGTGTACAGGGAATGAGTTATCAGCCACCCAGATGGTGCAGTCAAGCATCACAACATTCTGTATAAGGCCTCCTCTTTATTAAGAGACAAAGTGGCCAGAGGAGGAAGTAACAAACTAAATGAAAAATATTGACCCAAGAAAGAGATGGAGGAGAGAGGATATTGAGGGAGACAGGGAACAAAGAGAGATGAAGTAAAGGCAGCAGCAATTGCTGTTGGGAGATGCAAAGCAGGAAGGAAAAAGCTGATTAATGCAGCACAGAGATTCATGAGAGAAACAAGAGCTTGTGAAACAAGTCAATTAGTAGGAAAGACTATCAAGTGCAAGACAAATGCAAAACAGTGAAGTCTCAGGAAACTATAAAGACAAAATTACCACTAAGTGTGGCTCATTCCCAGCACAATCTGCAAGGCTAACTGATATTAGTGAACCAAAAACCCTCTCTGGAATGGCTCCCCGCCCTCAGAACATAAAACTTAACCCCAAAACCAAAGAAATTAAATGTAAAGTAACCCTGCTCTGCATGTCACTGCATAAAACATGGAGCAAGGCTGCTGACAGACACCCCACAGGTGCACTGAGGGCTAAGAGAGGTACATGTAGCAGGTTTGAATTTCAAGGCTCTGGTATGTTGTTACTATTTTGCTGTACAAGCAGGAGTTGAGAACTGGGGCGCTGGTGCAAAGAGGTTTTGAAATCCTGCCAATGGATTTAAATAACAAAACTACTGAAATAGAATTTTATGAAGTCAGAGAAGGAGAAAGCACTACTCTTCGTGGCACGGAGCATGCATATCCTTGTGGGATAAGGTATGCAGGACATTATGAATAAACACGGACAACATTTACTGCCACTCAGTCCTCCAGAAAATAAATTTGCAGTATTTAACTCTGAGGTTAGGAACAGCACAGAATATACTGGCTACCCCGAGTCTGTACAGATTTTGTTTTATAGGTGTCAGGTGCACAAAAATATAATCTTGTAAGTGGGAATCCCAAAGGCAGTTTAGTAAAGTGGAGTAGCTGCAGGTCAGAGATCAGACATCTCCGCATGTGAGAAACAGTTCATCCTCAGGTTTTTTTCCTCCTTTTTCTTACACAAGTTCCTCACAAAGCTCCTAGAAGCCATACCAACTTCTATAAAGCCATTTATAAACCTGTTAGGTAAAGAAAATCTTTACAGTTGGAGAACAATTTACCATCCATAGTAAGATATATCTAAGAAATCTCTCCAGGATTTAAATAAGGAGTTGCAAAGCATCAGTTCTGTGCCAGCTCCCCTGCTGTCCTGATTCCAGTTCAGCGCATACTGGCAGTCACTGAAATCCTCACAAAGCAATGAGAAAACACATGACTTGAGCAGCAGAAGAAAAAAAATAGCTATAGCTGCTCTACATAAAGTAAATTAGCAGGCTAAAGCCCGTTATGTGTGCATTATCAGCTGGCTTAATACTACAGCATTCATACACGCCTCGCACACAAGGGCAGCGGCTCTGCCGGGCCAGACCTTCCTGCGCTGTCCCGAGCCAGGCCCACGTCCCCAGGCCCGGAGGGACGGGTGGGAGGGAAGAAATGCAAATCCCCACAACACGTCAGACTTCCCCGTGGGAGCAGGTTTCTTTCTTGCCCTTTCCCCGATCAGTTTAACCTGGGAAGCGCAATACCCGATTACCCCTGTTCCGGCTTGCATAACTGGCCGTGGCAGTTGTCATGATTTGATCATGAATCAAATCGGCTCCGGAGCCGGCACCTGGTTAGAAATAGCCGGAGGGTCGGGGGGCACAGCCGGGAGACCCCCGGCTGCAGCGGCCTTCAGCAGGCATGGCAGGAGGAGGAGGATGGAGGATGGAGGATGGAGGATGGCTTTGCCGGGGGCAGACCCGAGGCAAGGCAGGGCAGGGCTGGCGCTAGGCCGGAGCAGGGGCAGGGATGGGGACGCGGCCCCGCGGGGTCCCGCTGCCGAGCGCTCACCTCCTTCCAGCGGAGCTGCCGCAGGCTGATTTTCAGGGCCTCCAGAGAGGTCTTGGCCTTGGAGCTGTCCACCGTGACCCCGGCCCGCCGGACGCTCTCGGCCCCGCTGCGGCGGCCCGGGGCCCGCCGGGCCCTGCCCCGCGCCGCTCGCCCGGCCGAGCCCTGCGCCGCGGCCCCGCGCCGGCCCCGCTCCCGCTCCCGCTCCCGCTCCCGCTCCCGCTCCCGCTCCCGCTCCCGCTCCCGCTCCCGGCCGGGCAGCGCCCCTTCCCCCGGGAGCGCCGCGGCAGGCGGGCCGCGCTGCGGGGCCTCAGCGGGCAGGGCCGGGGACCCCGGGGGCTCCTCCGCCTCGCGGGCCGGCTCCGTCTCCGCCGGTTCCAGCCCAGCCGGCTCCATTTCCGCTATCCCCAACCCGGCCGGTTCCAGCCCGGCCGGCTCTATTCCCTCTGTCCCTATCCCCGCCGGTTCTATCCCCTCTGTCCCTATCCCCACCGGTTCTATCCCCTCTGTCCCCATCTCTTCCTGTTCTCTCCCTTCTGTCCCCGTCTGTTCTATCCCCTCTGTCCCTGACCCCGCCGGTTCTATCCCCTCTGTCCCCATCTCTGCCTGTTCTCTCCCTTCTGTCCCCGTCTGTTCTATCCCCTCTGTCCCTGACCCCGCCGGTTCTATCCCCTCTGTCCCCATCTCCGCCTGTTCTATCCCCTCAGTCCCTGTCCCCAGCCCTGCCGGTTCCAGCCCGGCCGGCTCTACTGCCTCTGTCCCCATCCCCGCCGGTTCTATCCCCTCTGCCCCCGTCCCTGTCCCCGCCGGTTCTATCCCCTCTATCCCCTCTGTCCCTGTCCCCAGCCCGGCCGGCTCCATCCCCGCCGGTTCCATCCCGCCCCCGCTCCCCACCCGTTCCCATGGCAGCGGCGCGGCCGGTGACCCGCTGGCCCCGCCCCGCCGCCGTGAGGCGCTGACGCCGCCCCCGCCATTTTTGGATCGGGCACAGGCTCCGCCTCGCGCAGTCCGAAATGGTCCCCGGAGGCGGCGGGGCCGCCATGTTGGAAGCGGGCGAGGCACCGCCCCGCCATGGCGGCCCCACCTCAGGCCGGGCTGTGCCCGCCTGCCCTTCGCACCGAACCGCCCGGGTGGCGTCGCATTTTCCTGCTGTGCCCGCCTGCCCATCGCACCGAACCGCCCGGGTGGCTCCGGCACTCGGTCCGCTCCTTGTCGTGCGGCCGAAAGGTTCTCGTGTGACACGGGGCTCTCGCCGCCCTTACAGAGCGCTGCCCCTCACCAAGGGCGTTCCCATGGACCCTTCAGGTTCAGCTGCATCGATGCTGGGAGAGCCCATCTGCGGATTTTGAACTCTCTTGGGCACAGCAGGAAAATACGAAAACTTTTACACTGTCAGAAATGGAATGCATAACCTTAACAGCAGCTCCGTGATCAACCTGAGCGAGCTGGAAGGTTCCCTGCCTACAGCAGGGGGTTGGAACTATATAATCTTTACCGTCCCTTCGCACCCAAGCACTGCAGAACTCTCTGGTCCATGGGTCCTTCTCGCTGTAGGTGTGAGGCAGTGAAATGGAGAAGGTGCCCGCCAGGAGCACAGCGGGTTTTTGGAACTGGGGAGCGCAGGGCTGCGGGCGGGCGGTGGCGCTGCGCCCTGGGAAATCCGGCCGGCTGCGAGGAGCTCGGGCTGGGAGCCGGGACTGCGGGAAAACCAGGAGCAATCGGGGCTGTGGCTGAAGGAGCGACCGCCAGAGTCGTGATCTGGAACAGGACTGAAGCAGGCTATCAGCAGAAATTATTTAAACTACAGCATAATTTAAATAAATGCAGGAAAAGTTGGCACTGCCAGTTAGCTGCGAGATAAAATAACAAGGTCGTGTCAAGATGCTTATTTTTTCAGTGCCTCACCAGTCTTCCATCATTTACCCTTGCAGGCAACGAAGAAACGAATGAATTAATTAAATAGAGCTGTGTCTTGCAACGTGAAGTGACCAGGAAGGCTAAGGCCAGGTAGCTCGCTCTTGGCTGCTCTCATGTTGCTATTAAAAGATGTACATTCTTTTTTTATATCTGTGACAGTGTTTAATTAAAAACCCGGGAGCGTTTCCATGTTCCAGCAGGAGCTCGGAGGGGCTGGTAATGTTGGCAGGATGAGCTGACTGGGTGGTGTCTTTTCCATGTCCATCACTGAAGGCACAGCTTTCGTTTCACCACCACCACCAGATCACAGAAATGTTTGGGTTGGGAGGAACCTTAAAGATGATCTTGTTCCAAATCTCTTCCATGGGCAGGTACAAATCGGAAAGAAAAATTAATATTTTACTTATGTTCAACATTGGCAGAAAAATTCAGTTGTAAGAAAAGCAATTTAGAGATGTTGGAGTATGTGATTTAAAGTGGTGACCTGACTCTGACTGTCTCTTATTTTACTGCCAGGATCCCAGATGAATATTTTTAACACAGAGATTTATCCTCACCAATGTCATCGGTGCTGAAAGAAGGCCAGGGAAAGAGTTAAGATGGGCCAAAGCATTAAGAGGCATTAGAGCATGGGAAATACCAAACAAAATGATTGCAAAGGGGAAATATTTTTATATCTAATTATCATATATCCACATTTCTTACGTACTAATAACAGACTAGTTGTTCCTCTACCAGAGAAGCTGTAATAGATCCGATGCCTGGTTTGCCTGCGTTGTGTGGATAAAACCTTAATTTCCTGTTGGGATAAATAGAGATGGGCTGCAGTGTGCAGCGTGGGCTCAGGCTGCACATGGCATTCAGGTACAGCAAGATGGGGAGTAAAGTATAGGTTGGGCAGTAATGAGGCACAGGTAATGCAGAAGGAGAGCATATCCTGCTGAATACAGCAAGCTGGGTCTAGCAGCAGGAGAGAAATGGGAAACTTGAGATCGTCTCTCCCCTGTGAGGAGAGGGGAAATTTAGTTACAGGGTACTCGTAAACACAAGGCTGTTTCCTGAGACCCTTGCTCAGAGGGAGCTGTTGATAAGAACAGATTGTTACTATCTTGTGATAATAAGTGAACAAGAACATTCCGTCCAGGAGAACTGTAATGTCCCTATGCTCTCATTAATTAAATTCAGGATATCAAAGACAGAAGAGGTATTGGCCTAATTTAATGGGAGTGGGGAAGGATCCTATTTGATTGTACAGCATTTTACTCATCTCTCAAACTAACAACTTCACTCTCATTTACCCAAAATCATCACCTACCTGAGTCTGTGTGTGCACAGGAAAGTGCCAGGTCCAAGGAGGAATCCAGGAATAAAGCAGTTTTACAGATGCAGCAAACTGAACAGTTTTCCACCGTGACAGCATGCTGATCCCAGCAGCTCACACTGAGGAACTGTACTGCCAACCTGTGGTACATGGAATTCATGAGTTGGGCATGTGAACCTGCCTCGCTTATGAGGTTAACAAGTAGCATTTTTCTTTACTAATATATTTCCCTTCTTCTAGTAAGCATTTTTGTTTCCAAATTGGGATCAAGATTTTTAGCTTTTATGTGGCATCATAAGGGCAACAACTGTATTCTTTTCTATACTTTTTTAAAGACAGCCAAGACAAGAGAAACAAAGTAGCATGTAATTTGCAAAAATAACATACCAGCTTTTAAAAATATATAAAACTGGCCTCCTGCCAAATGCAAAATACTTCAGTGTACCCTTTTGAAAAAGAACACATTCCTCAAGCTATTGTTTAAAAAAAAAGTTACTCATGAAGAACTATCCATCTGTCTGAAGTTAATAGTTCCTTTTGCAACGATGGTGAGTATCTCCTGTCAGTTGTGCTTTCACAAATCCATGAGAAAGCAATGCTCTATAAATTGAAAAGTCAGAAGAAAACAAATCTAGCCAACAGACTCCACTTGGAAAACGTCTGTGGTGGGCTTATGCTTCAGCCTGGATTTAAATCCATATACATCACTCCGTGCTGCCCATGTTTATGTTCGACCACAGAAGATTTGTGGTTGACCTACATATGCAAACAAAACATTTGCTGCATATTTGGGGTGGGGGGATTTGCATGATAGAAGATGATGAAAATATGCATAATTGTAGATGACATTTTTCGTTGCCAAGTCCTGCTGCACAGCCCTTTGGAGCTGGCCATGCATGAAAGAGGCTTGCAGTCCTGCCGGGCAGACTGCCTGGCCATGCTGTGGAGCTGAACCGCCGAGACATCCAGCTTCTGTTTCTTCTCAGCAACACAAATCTGCTGCAATCATCTCACCAAGCAGCCCTGGTGCTCACAGAGGACACGTATGACACTCGCTGAGGGGGCTGAAGCCATGAGTTCCACATGTCACCTCTGAGTTCCCCTCACGGGGCAGCTCAAGAGACTCAAAGATTTTGTTTAGGAGTTTTCTCGGTATTCTTGAAATCCCCAATGCATCGAGGGTAACATCACACAACTTAGTCAACAGCAACTGGTTTATCTGTTCTTGCTCCCACATTTCATCCCACAGCAACATTTCTAGGAAGTCTGCTGGTGTGTTGGTACACTTGGAGGCTTTGCTCTAAAAATTGCATCAGCACAAGTACATATTAATAATGTTGATAAAGTGGCATGACAAACGCAGATCTCCTAGGACAGTAAGCATGCACAGACCTCTCCGCTCTTATGTGTGATATGGAAGGGCTCTCCTGTAACAGAGGTTTTGTCTGCCATTACTGGGTGTCTGTCTGGTTGCTCTTCCCAGGTCACATCTTATTATTCAAAGTCTCTGCAACTCTGCTGTGCAGAAATAAGTACTTAAAAGGGTTAGCAGAAAGGAGGAAAATTCCATGGCATTGAGAGCAGGTCTCCTCCTTTATCTGTGAAGGTGGGTTTGGAAAAAGCTCCCTTCCCTACAAACCAACCAAGGAGCTGATTAAAGAGCACCCTGCATGTAACACCCACCACCCCATTTACACCATGTTCAAGGTCTCTTCAAAACATGAAGCTATGTAAGAAGAGGGGTTTTTTTAATTCCCTGCAGAGTCCTGGGTTGGGCAGAAACGTGCATCCATGTGAGAGAAAGAGAAGGAAGAAAATCTTGGGAGCCTGTGCCCGAGACAGAAAGCTGATACAAACCTGGTCCCTGCAAAAACACTTGCAGCTCTGAGCCAAGAAGCTGTCTTGGGGCTTCACTCCTACTGTGTTCAGAGAATCGGGACTTTCTGTGAGCGCTTTGCACATCAAAGGAATAACTCTCTCAGCACCTCCATGTGATGCAAACACCCACCATGAGGTTTGGCCAACTGTTCAATGCTACTCAGGGCTTGTTTATACTAAATCCGTGACGATGTCCTGTGTAAATACTTCATTCCACATATTTGCCCAGTTTCATTGTCCAGAAGAAAAGGCATACAGCTTTCTTACTTCCAGTGGAGTCAAAGAATTTTCTTTGCCCAAAAAACAAACTAGAAAATTAATGTCTTTTTAAGTTTAGCAGCCTTCAAACTCAATTCTCAAACACAGATCTAAACCATTAAGGGCAGGAGATTTAAGCCCTATGAAAAGTCCACAGAAGTTCATGAACAGGGAGTATTAAACACCTCCATTCAATTGTGAGCTAACAGAAACTGGCACTGCAAGCTTTATTAAATAACAGTTGCTTTCTTTTTCTCAGAATTCCCATGAGATATTTCTTTCTTCCTACCAAAAGGATTTTATAATCTGCGGGATACTGGAGAGCACCAGAATGGAATTTAAAAGACCATTCTTGTTATTTCATCCTGTTCTTGCTATCAGATTTAAAAATTTAACTATCCCAAGCAAAGTCCATATGCTCCCACGTATATAGGAACGCTCTTGTGGCAATGGGAGGGTAATGAGGAGAAGCTTTGAGCAGCTCAGCACGATGGCAGGTTCCTGCACGCCTCAGCTGAAATGCAGTATTGCAGAATCAATGTAGAGACTCACCAGTAGTGGCTGTGTTAGGTTTTTCCCCATATGAGTTGAGCTTTGCTGGCGCTAGCATCAAAGGAGGCGTGAGCATAACCTGACAGGGTGGCATCTCCTCCTCCTTGGGCTTAGGAGAACCAAAGACCTGAATGTTGCTCAATCAGTCCAAGAACATTTGCACACAAAATCTAGGTTGTTCATTCAGGTCAACAGATATTTTTTTGATCAAGATATGTGCCATGAAGTGTCCTAAGTACACACTAAACATCAGCACAGACCACACAGAAAATCTCCAACAAAGAACTAAACTGATGCATCTGCAGGCAAGATGTGTATCTAGAGGAGCATCTTGGACAGAAACCAAAACTGAAAAAACCCGTAGTGAGTTATGCTGTATAAAAGTGGGATTAGCATAAACTTGTGAATATTTAAATGAGAAGGTAATGCAGTGATATAGATTGGAAGAAAAGAAGTCTGTCTGGAAACAGAAAAACTTCACAAAGACAGAAGGCTGACCACAGAACCCTCCCCAGAAAGAGCTGCTAATACCTCAAAATATTTGAACATGTAGGGTCATAGTCTGTGAACCAATATTAATTCCTTGGGGTTTTTCTCCCTCTCTTAATTATAAGTTTCTGGATTCTTGGCTCTTGCCCATCTCCCACTGACTTACAAGTACTCAGAAATGCCAAGAAGCTCAGCGTGATCACGGTCCTGCGATGGATACTGGGAACTCTGCACTGTCTGCCTGTGGTCAAACTTTTCTTTCTTGCTAATGCAAAAGCCACATAAAAGGTGCTGTCCAAAAACATTCAAACACCTAGCTGGGAGTTACTTTTAAGACTCAAAAATTAATTTGGGGGAAGTCAGATGAGATCCATTGGCACACATGTAACCCGCCACCCTTTGGATTCTACACAATTCATATTTCTGATCATCCCTGTAAACGGAGTGTGGCTGTACTAAGTCAGAAGACAAGCCTTGGGCCTTGCCATCACAGCTGTGCACGTCTCATCCCTCCCCTGTGCTGGCGCCCCTGAGGAATGTCACGCTCAGGTGCGCCAGGTGTCCCAGAGTGGCATCCGCGAGGGCTCACCTGGGCTTGGCAGTGCCTTGTCCCCGAGAAAACCTGGGAGGAAAAGAACACCGTGAGCACACGGGGTGCCACAGATCCTGAGGGTATACTGAGTGGCACAGTGGGCAGAGTGCGTCAGGACTCTGGGTGTGCTAATTTCTAACAGAGCTGTAAGTCCCATTGACACGAGACATACATAATGTAGGTGAGCGCTCATTCAGGACACTCCTTGGAGGTATTTCTATGGATTGATGAGATCTCCCCTCACTACTAACGAGGCCCAGCTCCCGCAGCGTCTCCACAAACGAGATGCTCCAGACCCGCGGTACCTCCGGTCCGTGCGGGGCCCGGCCGCTCCCGGCGGCGGCTCCGCGGCGGGGCAGGGCCGGGCCGGGCAGGGCCGGGCGGCTCCACCGCCCCCCGCATCACATGAGGCAACTTCGGGCCAATGGCGCCGCGCCGGGGCCGGGGCCCCGCTCGCTGCCGCGGACGCTCATTCAAAACGCGGCCGGGCTCGGGCGGCCGCAGCCCTTCACGGCGGCCGGGGCTCCGCGGGGCGGGCGCTGCCGGCCGCGATGCCCGGCGGCACGGCGGGCTGAGGCGGGCTGAGGCGGCCGCCCGCCCGCCGCCATGCCGGTGAAGAACCGGTACAACCTGGTGGACGATGGCTGCGACTCCCGCGTCCCGCTGCACAACGAGGAGGCCTTTCAGCACGGCATCCACTTCCAGGCCAAGGTGAGCCCCGGGCGCGCTCCCCTCCGCAGCCCCCGGGCTCGGGGCCCTGGCGGCGAAGCCCCGGCAGGTTCCGCCGCCGTGGCTGCTGCAGAGAGGGGCTGCGGGTCTCTGCGGGTCTCTGCGGGTCTCTGCGGGCTCGGGTGCCGCGGGCTGGGCTCCGGTGCTGTCCAGCAGCCGCCTGTGTCCCCCACTGGCCGCGGGCCCCGTGGCTCCGGGCCGGGCTCGCCGTGCCCCCCCAGCCCTGCCACGGTTATTCCTCAGCTCTGGAGCTGCCCCTGGGCCACGCTGAGGGAGCCTAAAGAAAACAGCAATCAATTATGATATGAAAGCCTTACATTTAATGAGCACAATCAAACAGGTTCTTGCTCTTTCCCTAGTGTTTTTGCAGCTGTGTAATCCTTAGACGCTGCTCTGGAATGACCCCTCTTGGCAGCACCGTGGATGCTGTCCCAGGTGCTCATCCCGGCCTGATCCAGTGCCTGTCCCGTCCTGCCACGGCAGGGTGGCAGCTCCCTATTCCCCTGGAAACCAGCAGACTGCTATGTGCCGCTCAAATAATAGTGCCTTACTCCAGCTGACCCCTTCCCTGCATGAAAAGCTGGACAGACAAGGTCTGCAGCCTTCAGGCATCAGAAAGAAATACTGATATTGTCAGAAATTCCGTATTGATCGCGGAGAACAGCCTGGCAGCACAGCAGCACTCTCAGAAAGTGACTCCATTGGAATTGGCATTCTGTAGACAGCATGGGGAATGGGTTTATAATTCAGCTGACAAGAAGAATTGCATTTTGCTGGAGCAACTCACAGGCTCCCTTCCCCTCTTTGCAGGTGGCCTAACACAGATTAGAAATGGAATTCGCGCCTGCTGTCTCCTGAGCTGGAAAGAAGGGGAATATACATTCCAATAAAGCTTTGAAATACGGATTTTGTGCCTCTTGGTTTTCCTGCTGAAAGAGCTGTAAGATTTAAGCAGGATACAGGATGAATCTGAATAGACAGCTAATCATGTATTTTAAAAAATTTATCTTCCTTAGGGAAAAAAACATTTAATCTGTGATTTCTCTATTTAAATTAGCATTTGCTGTGCTGCAGACTGTGCTGAGGAGAAGAAAAATTCTTAATTTGATTTTTAAAAAAGATGGGAAGCAACTGTACCTTTAAGTGAGTGAAACTGGCTTTTCAGATTGACAGCTCCAGGCATCCAGAGCTGGCGAGTGGATAACACCCTGTTAGGATGTGTGGGTCTGGGATGGGGTTTGCATTACCTTAGTAACATGCTTGCTCAGTTGTGCTTTACAGTCTGTCTCTTCCAATTATGCTGCTCATTGTGGGCACATCAGTCAGCTGCGACGCTGACAATGACAAGGCTGCAGCTGGCTGCAGGTGTCTGGCACCAGGCAATCCTACTGACCACACTCGCTCTCTAATTTCCACATTCCAAACTGCCTTCCTCCCCCTATAATCTTCAGGAGGTCACTACTGGGAGCTGCTTGTTTGGGCAGAGCTTTGTGTGCTGTTCCATGAGTTTCAGGGCTCTGTGTGGCAGCACAGGGACCCAAACTCTGCAGCCACACCAGAGGAGGGAGTTTGAAAGAATCTCCTCTAGCTCAGCAGTCCCAGCTGTCCTCTTGCCCCAATTAATTTGTCATTAGAAGCATAGCCTGTTCCCCACTGCAGCTCTGCTGCTGGCAGACAAAAGGCCAGCAAGGAGCTCATCTGGATTACCAGTGGCTGTCCTGACAGCCAGTGGAGCAGGGAAGGAGATCTGCACACCAGAGGCCACAGATGACAGCAATACAGCTCTGCCCTCCCCACCAGCCCAGAGGGAAGCCCTGGCTCTACTGCTCCCCTCAAGCTCTTGTGCTCTGAGCTTGGTTCTTCTGTGGTTTACCAAAGGCTATAGATGAACTTAACTGCTCTTAAAAATGCCATTTTGCACAGGCATTTACAGAAGCAGCAGCAAAGCCAGATGACCTTTCAGATTGCTTGTGGTGTTTGTTTCAAAGCAGGAGAAAGAGCACTAAAGACTGAGCCAGGAGAGCTCATCTCTGAAAGCCCTTTTAAGCAGTCATTTTACAAGATAAAACCCATTACAATCTGCAAGTAGTACAGTGGAGAAATAAATCCAGAACTGTGTCAGTAACAGCAATACCTATGGGGCTCTTCTACGGAATTATTTTGTCTCTGCTCATGTATATAATATCACCCTGAATGTTTGCAGGGGCCTCCTGATTAGCTGCTCCTTTTCCTCTCCACAAGGGAACAACTTTCAAAAAACCAACAGTTTGTAACCACACGCTAAAAACCAGACACAGTTCACAAACCAAATGCTCCTGGGAGGGTCACTAAACTCTCTGAGCTGCCCTCAGTCCCCACCACCAACAGCAGAGATGGGCTGTGTGGAGATGGGCTCCTGAGGGAGCTGACGGGCCCCACTGGGCCCCAGCAGCACCAAACCCAGCAGCTGCCCTCGGCTGCCAGGGCCGCTCCCAGCACATGCTGTCACCAGCCTCTCACTCAGTGACACTCTCCCAGTCCTCACCAACGTGCCCTGGGCGTGCAGCTCTTCCCTCAGAGCTGAGCCGCAGCACTTTACAGCATCAGCAGCCTTTGCTGCCCACGCGGTGTGACTGTCCAGGACACCAGAGGTTTTCCTCATTCCCAAAGCTGAGCTGGCAGCTCTGTGCCTCCTCCCCTCAGCAGTGGCACTCCTTGCAGCCGTGCCACGTGTGCTGTCACCAGTGCCACCAGGCAGCTGCTGCTGCCTCCTGCCAACAGGTGCACCAGCAGGTTCTAATCTGGCACACGAGGGGAGAGTACAGGCACGGGGGGAGAAATGCAGCAGCAGGAAGCTGCCCGTGGGTGTTCCATGCTGACCTGTGCAGCATGGGCAGTGTGCTGCCATTCCTTTCAGGAGAGCAGGCAACCAGCTCCAGGAGCTGCAGCTGTGGTGCAGGGGTAGAGGTGGAGGTGATGGGAACCTGCCCTCTGCGGTGTCTCAGGCTCCAGTAAGAGACTTTGCTAGGACTGGCACAGACACTGGAATGTACTCAACCCCAAGCAGTGTGGTTAGGGCTGCAGCTCCCCTAAGCAGGGCTGTAGAACACAGATTTGGGTGGGTTTGCCAGGATTCTGCAGGCAGCTGAGCTGGTCCAGCCAAGCAGGGACAGCAGCATCAAGAAGCAGCATAGTCCAGACTGAAAACTTAAGCTGGAAACACAAGGCTTTTCCAAGAAAGGTGTTTGTTGTAAATCCTGGAAGCTTTACAGCTCTTTCAATTTTGAGCAGGTATAGTAAGGAGGAATAATGGATAGACAGTCTCATCTTCAGACACACGGGATCATGACTCAATTAGCAGCAGACATTGCCCTGCAGAGCACTGGTGAAGGCACGTCCAGAACCTGAATGAGGTCAGAGCCTCACACCCAACCTCAGAAATCCCCAACTTGATAACATTGTCTACAGCAGATATTTCTATCCTGTCTTGGGTCAAAGGAGTCCAAGCAAGGAGGGACTAAATAAATGAGAAATGTCTGTTTTGAAGAAGAACCACGAACTTGTGCATTACTGCACAGCCATCTCATGTTGTGTCTTTCAGTACATCGGGAGCTTGGATGTCCCCAGGCCCAACAGCCGCGTGGAGATTGTGGCAGCCATGAGGAGGATCCGGGTAAGTTCAGAAGAGCTGAGCCCCACACAGAGTTAAAGCTTACACTCCCTGGAGTGACTTGGTTGCAATCTACTGTTCCACATTCCCTCCAGCCCTTCCTATCTGGAGCTCAAATCTCAGCCCAATCAGGCTTGCAACAAGCTTCTCCAGGAATTCCCAAGGCATCTTAGCATAGCCCCATCCTGTGCTCTCTGCAAAGGGATCTGTTATCAAGACTCAAATCTCTTGATAACAGCCCTCTCCTGTGCTGAGCAGCCATGGGGCTTCTCCTCGAACCTAAGAGATTTATTTAGCCTGTTTGGAATTCTGTGTGCCTCAAAAATAAGCTGGACACAATGTGCTTCACAAAAGCACTTGAGTTCATTGACAGTTCCAAATATATTGTGTTCTATATTGAAATATCAGTGCCCTGACAGGTGTGATTGATGTAAATCCCATCTGACTAGACTTTGTGGATTCTGCTGCTCCTAGAACAATTTGCTGCTTTCCCCATGCTCCATTACAGTTTTACAGTTCCTGTTTCTCATCACCAAGCCTGCTCTCTTCCTGTTCTGCCCCTTTATTCTGCAGAGCAGCCTGTGAATGGTCCCCAGATTTAGCTGTGATTAGCAGGGTTGGGTGGCTTACATCTGCTTCGTGTATAACCAGTTCAAGTGCATCTCCCCCAAAAGGCTGTGCAGCTGTTGTGTCTGGCTGAAGTTTTCAGGGGTCTTAATTCTGAGGCTCTTCATATGTCTCACATCAGCTGAAGCAAGTTTGAGAATCTTCCATTTAAAGCTTTGAAGGGATTATCCTATTTCGCTCCCCCCCCTTCCCCCACAGTGTTTAACCATCTAATTTTCCTTTAGAATAGTGTTTTTTAAACTTAGCCTGTAACTGGCTGGGGAGCTGATGTATTCATCTCCAGCCAAGCTTAGAAATGACATTCCCCTCCCTTTGCCTGCTCAGACTATTAGCACAGCTCTTGTTCAGAACACAGTTCAGTAGCAGTCTAAATTGCCTGGTTATTTATGGAACAGGTGAATATCTGTAGGAAGTAAAAGCAATAGGTGAGGACTACCAGGGCAGTTTAGGTGCTAGCATAATTATTGGCAATTTTTCATCTCAATCAATATTTATCATCAGATTTGACACTGCACTTTTGCTGATGTATGACAGCCTTTTAAGAAAAAACAAATAGTATTTTAATATCACTTAAAATATAGTGTCAATTCTGTTTTCACACCTGGTATTGCCACAATGGTACCCTGCTCAGAGCCTTGGCAGTGCAATAGCATGCTTGAGGACCACAAGAAACATGTAAAAAACCCATTCTGCAGTCCTGGGTGCCATCACTTAATCTTGTCACACAGGATTTTTAAAGTAGGCATCCAGTAATCTATAC